TTAAGTCCTTTGCCCATTTTTTTAATTGGATTTTCTTTTGTTAAGTTGTTTGAGTTCCCTAAGTATTTGGATATTAAACCTTTATCATATGTATCAGAGGCAAATATGTTCTCCCATACAATGGGCTCCCTTTTCATTTTGTTGATGGTTTATCTTGCTGTGCAGAAGCTTATTTTGATATAGTCCATTTGTTTAGTTTCTTTCTAGTTTTCTTTGCCCCGGGTGAAGTCTGTAAATACATTGCTATAACAGATGTCTGAGATTTTGCTACCTATGGTTTCTGCTAGGATTTTTATGGTTTCACATTTTACATGTAAGTCTTTTATCCATTTTTAGATTATTTTTGTATATGGTGCAAGTTGGTGGTCTAGTTTCATTTTGTTGCATATATCTGTCCGATTTTCCCAACACTGTTTATTAAAGAGACTATCTTGATTCCATTATATATTCTTGTCTCCTTTGCCAAATATTGAGCATAATGGCTTGGATTGATTTCTGGGGGTCTGTTTAATTCCATTGATCTATGTCTGTTCTTGTGCCAGATCTATGGCTGTTTGGATTATAGTTGCTTTGTAATATAACTTGATATCTGGTATTATGATCCCTCCAATCCAAGTTGTTGTTCTTTCTCAAGATTGCTGTAGCTATTCAGGGTCTTTTGTTGTTGTTGTTGTTGTTGTTGTTGTTGTTCCATGTAAATTTTTGGAGTATTTGTTCTAGATCTGTGAAATATGCTGATGGTATTTTAATGAGAATTGCATTGAATCTATAGATTGCTTTGGGTAGTATGGACATTTTAGTGATGTTAATTCTACCAACCCATGAACAGAGTATATTCTTCCATTTATTTATATCCTCTTCTATCTCTTTTTTCAATATCCTGTACAGTTTTCTGAATACAAGCCTTCCACATCCTTGGTTAAGTTTATTCCTAAGTATCTTACATTTTTTGTTGAAATGGTAAATTAGGTTATTTGTTTAGTTTCTCTGAGAATTCATTATTGGAGAATAAAAATGCTATTGATTTCTGGGTGTCATTTTGTATCCTGCTACACTGCCAAATTCATTTTATAAATCTAGTAGTTTTTTGGTGAAGTTTTTAGGGTTTTCTACATACAATATTATGACAGCTGCAAATAATAAGTTTTACTTCCTCCTTTCCAATTTGGATGCCTTTTATTTTTTATTTTTGTCTGATTACTGTGGCTAGGACTTCCAATTCCACAATTTGAGATAAGTATTCATAGTTATTAGGTCTGTTATTGAAATGTCTTGAAATTTATTTTCCATACAATTTTAGGCCAGATTATTCCTTGCTAAGTAATCAGTATCAGTAAGTACATTGGAATATATATTTGTATCTAATGTTTTTGTTTTTTAAACAGCTTTGGAGATTCAACTTTGCAGCAACTCGGTTGTATTTTTCCTCTCTTTACTTTTTTTCCCATCAACATTTATCCCCTGCTATACCATTCTTCAACTCACTCATCCACACTCATGTTGGTAGCTTGAAATTGGCCATGGTAGGAATACTTAGAGCAGAGAAATTGGCAAATGCTACAAATCAGTATCTTTTATTATTAATTACCACCCCACACTCACCAGAGGGCCAGTAAAGGTTAAACATTTACCAGCACCATTACCCTATCTGGTCTATACCACTCCATGCTGCCCAACACATTTCTGACATTTTTTTACCACTTCCCCGTTTTGCCTAACCAATTGGCTCAGCTTGTTCCTTCCTACCTGATATCTTGCATATACTTTGTGTGTATGTGTGTGTGTGTGTGTGTGTGTGTACTATGTACTTTTAAGTTTCACATTAAATATACATATCCTATCTCATAAAGAGGAAATAAGCTAACTAACCATCATGCCCTCACAAAGATGGTGGTGCCTACAGCCCATAAGAAGGGAAGATGCTAATTGACTGCCATACCCTGATGCTAATTGACTGCCTGCCCACAGTCACAAGATGGCAGCACCCAGTCCCCTCAGCCCAGGGGAGTAGTAGGCCCACAGCACAGCCAGGTCCGCCCCAGGTGAGTCTGGCCACTCTGTGTGCCTGCTTCTTAAGTCCCCCAGTTCTCTCAGCCCTCCAGCCGCCCAGGGCTGTCTGAGGCACAGGTAACCAGGGCCAGCCGAGGCTTGTGCTGTCAGCAGTGGCAGCAGCAGAGGTGTGATGGGGGTGTCGCCTTCCCCTGATCGCTGGGTCGCCTCCTGCCCCTGAGGGCTCTCAGACTGTGTCAGGGGGCGGGCCAAGCTAAGGGACTCCCCCTCCAGTGCATGAATTTTCATGCACCAGGCCTCTAGTGTGTATATATTTGTCTTTATTACATGCCCAGGATTGCAGGCTCAAGCCCCAGTGGAGAGCATATAGGAGGCAACCAATTGATATCATTATGTTTCTACCTCTCTCTTCCTCTCCTTTAAATCAATAAAAACATACACAAATATATGTATGGCAGCTATCTATACTAATAAAAGGGTAATATGCTAATTAGACAAAACATCTTCCAGATGGCCTTCAGGATGTCCTTCAGAAAAGCCATGGTGGGGGGGCTGAGGCAGACATGGTTAGGGGTGATCAGGCTGGCAAGGGAAAGCAGTTAAGGGGATCAGGCCAGCAGGCAGGTGAGCAGTTAGGAACCAGTGGCCCTGGTTGCAAGAGTTATGATGTGATCGCTCAATCTAGGAGAAAAACAGCCATTATTGCCATATCGGTTCTGCAACAGATTGGATTGGATTTAAAGGCCACTCAGGTCTTGGTCCTGGCACCTTTGCACAGCAGATACAGAAGGTAGTCATGGCTTTAGTTACATTGGTGCCTCCTGCCATGACTGCATTTTGGGTACCAACGTGCATGCTGAGGTGTGCTGCAGATGGAAGCTCCCCATATCATAGTGGGCACATCAGGATATGTTTGACATGCTTAATCATAGATACTTGTCTCCCAAATACATCCAAGATGTTTGTACTGGATGAAGCTGATGAAATATTAAGCTGTGGGTCCAAGGACCAGATATATGACATATTCCAAAAGCTTAACAGCAACACCCAGGTGGTATTGCTGTCAGCTACAATGCCTTCAGATTCTTGTCAAGAAGGAAGAATTGACCCTCAAGGGTATCTGCCAATTCTGTATTATTGTGGAATGAGAGGAGTGGAAGCTGGACACATTGACTTATATGAAACCCTTACTATCACCCAGGCAGTCATCTTCAACACAAAAAAAAGGTTGGTTGGCTCACTGAGAAGATGCACACCTGTCTCCGCCATGCATGGAGATATGGACCAAAAGGAATGAGATGTAATCATGCGAGAGTTCCGCTCTGGCTCTGGCTGAGGATTGCCACTGACCTGCTGGCCAGAGGCAGTTATGTGCAGCAGGTTTCTTTGACTTCCCACCAACAGGGCAAACTATCCACAGAATCAGTGGATGTTTTGGCTGTAAGGGTGTGGCTAATATTATGGTGACAGAAGACAAGAGGACTCTTGGAGACATCAAGACCTTCTACTCCTCCATTGAGGAGATGCCCCTCAATGTTGCCGACCTCATCTAAGAGGGGTTGTTCTGCTATCTCATCCCAGCCAGGGTTCTCAGTCCTTGACAGGCAGGGGAGCATGAGAGTGAATGGAAGAGAGCAAAGGGATAAACATCTTGTCATTTTTTTCCCCTTCCCTTTTAATAAATGTCACTTTTTGAGGCAAAGAAGGAACTGTGAACAACTTACCCTTTTTTTGGGGGGCGGTAGGCTCATGCCCCAGGTGTTGTCTCTTCTCCCAAAAATACTAATCCACTTCCCTAACCTAGACAACCTCCAAGCCCCAGAGACTCCCTGCTCCAGCCAAATTCCTCTGAAAATGACTCAAAGGGATTATAATGTTACTCAACCTCATTTACTGAACCAAATCTGGAGAGAGAACCCCTGAGTTACGTAGCCCAGGAGATTGTCCCCATGTTGAGGAAACAGCGGAGAAAATAGTAGCCATTTTTATATTGTTTTGTATAGTGTTTATTGATTCAGGAAACAAAACAAAATTCTGAATAAAATTACTTGGAAATAAACAAATAAAAAAAAGGTTCCAAAGGACAAAACCAATGACATAATATATACTTGTCTAAAAAGTAACTTTTACAGTAATACACCTTTGCTTCAGAATTACATGATGCATATTCTTCAAGTCTCAAACACTTAATGAAAACATGCTTGTTACTTATTAGTCAATCTAATACCAAAACTGAATCACTGAAATTAAGGTTGGATTTTGTAGTCTCAATATTTTTCACACCCATGTTAGTTGTGTTTCAAAATTCTTATATTTTCTGCAAAAATATAATTCTTGGTTGAGGAAAATATGAATAAAGGTGAAGACTTACCAAATTGTTATGTACCTGTGTCCAAAAATACTCATCTGGAGGATAGAAAATAGTTATTTGCTTTATTTATTAATGTTTTTATTTTTGTTAATCCTCATCTGAGAATATTTTCCCATTGATCTTTAGAGAGAGTGGAAGGGAGGGGAAGAGACACAGAAACATCAATGTGAGAGACTCACATTGATTGGTTAATGACTGCATACTCCCAAAGGGGGCCAGGGATCGAGCTTGCAACAGATATGTGACCTTAACCAGAATAGAACCTGAGATTCTTCAGACAGATGCTCTCTCCACTGAGCCCAAAGATTTGCACTAATCTTTGTTTTTCTATGTGCAAATTTCCTTCAGCAGGTGAGAGATTAAATGAAAAATGGGAGGATCAACATTGCATACTTGGACAGCAAATTTTTAAAATAAAATCACAGACTCTGAAATTTCTAGTTGTGTCCTTTAAATATACTTCAATAGCATAGGAATAATTATTTAACTTAGAGAGTAATGGTTAATGGTTCAGAGAAAAAGGACACGATTAAGTAAAGTTTATTTTACCTACAGCTCCTGCAATATAAACTGAATGTAAATACTGATAGTGAGACATATAAAGAACTACTGAAAAATGTCAGAACATCATGCCTTCCAATCCATCTTCCATGAACTTCTTATAAAGTGCCATAAATTTGGCCACAAATGCTTCCAAGTGATAAATGGCTTTACTACCCAGCTGCAGACGATGTTCATAGTAAGCTGCCATCTGGGCCACTTCTCCTTTCAGTTGTCCATCACAATTATGTAAAAGTTCTGAGAGAAGGCCCTAAAGAAAGATAACTACAACGTTTATTTCTCATTCAAAACAGAAGTAAATCTTAAGTTAAATATGTTAAGAACTACATGATGCATATTCTTCAAGTCTCTAACACTTAATGAAAACATGCTTCAAGTGAAATATATTCTTTTCTTATTTGTGAAATCCTGAATTCTTTTATATGGACTGACAGTCTTCAGCCAAAAGCAAAAAAAAAAGTGGCAATTATTTAGCATATTCCAAATTCAATACTTAAATGTATGAGGATGCAAAGATATAAGTAAAAAGATGATTATAACATTAATTACTAAAAGCCCAATGCACAGATTCGTGCACCAGTGGGGTCCCTCAGCGTGGCCTGTCGGGATCGGGCTGAAACCAGTTCTCTGACATCCTGAGGGGGCCTGGCTTGTGAGAGGGCGCAGGCCAGGCCGGGGGACCGCACCAGTGCACGATCGGGACTGCGGGAGGGCTCCAGGGCATGTCCAGCACATCTCGCCCAGTCCCAATCGGCCGGACCACAGTAGCAAGCTAATCTACGAGTCGGAGCGTCTAACCCCTGGTAGTCAGTGCACATGATAATGATTGGTCAAATGAACGGTTTGACACTTAGCATATTATACAGCCCGACCAGCATGGCTCAGTGGTTGAGAGTTGACCTATGAACCAGTGTGGGGTGTACAGGAAGCAGCTGGTCAATGATTCTCTTTCGTCATTGATATTTCTATCTCTCCCTCTCCTTTCCTCTCTGAAATCAATAATAAAAATATATTTTTTAAAAAGAGAGTTTGGTAACTATGGGCTGTCACGAACCAACATCCATGTTACAATGTTGAATGAGAAACACTATGCAGAACACTGTCAAGGTTTGTGAAACCACACACACACACAATATGAGTTTAATTTCTACATGAATATTTTCTGAATTAATGAGCTAGATAAGAAGTGACAGCGTTTTCCTATGATTGCAAATTTTATGCTTATAAAGGATTTAAGATGTGAAATCAGGTTACCTTCATTATTATTTCAGGAGGAATACAATGAGTTAAAAGCTCATAGAGTCTGCCGCGAACTTCAAGGAGCCTACAAAAAACACAGCAATATTTTGTTTTAAAAATAAGGTAATTTTTCCAAGTATCCACTGTGCTGTTTAAATTTATGAATTAAACAATCTAATACAAACGTTTTCTTAAATGACTTATCATACTTAGCATATACATATAGAAGCTTTTTCTAATTTCAGTTCATTTTTTTTTTTAAAAGAAATTTACAGAACTCTTTTAAAGGTAGACAAAACTTATATTCAGTCTTATATTAAGACTTCCTGAACAGTGAAGGTTGAATTTATTTCACACCATGGACTTTAGCATACTTTCATGACACATCAAGTAATATGTTTATTTTACCCCCAAATAAATGATACCTAGAACAAGTAGAAAATAATCATAAAAAGATTGAAGAATCACTGATAAATTACACTTATGATAATAAAAGCATAATATGATTTTCCGGATGTCCTTCTAGACAGCCTTTCTGAAGAAGCAGTAAAGGCAGGGGTTGTGGCTGGAGGGGGCCGAAGCAGAGGAGGTTAGGGGCAATCAGGCAGGCAGTTAGGGATGATCAGGCAGACAGGTGAGCAGTTAGGAACGATCAGGCAGTCAAGCAGAGGCAGTTAGGGGTGGTGAGGCAGGAAGGTAAGTGGTTAGAGACGATCAGGCAGGCAGGCAGGCAAGTGGTAGAAGCCAGTGGTCCCAGATTGTGAGAGGGATATCTGACTGCCAGTTAGACTCAATCCAGGGATTGGGCCTAAACCGGCAGTCAGACATCCCGTGAGGGGTGCAGAGTGGGCTGAGGGACCTCCCTCTGCAAACCTCCCCTCCCCCGTGCATGAATTTCGTGCACTGGGCCTCTAATATAATATATAATGTTACTGTCTAGAGTGCAAAGTGAAAAGCAATATGGCAAGGAAACCAAGATGTCCTGTCATTATAGGTAAGTATAAAAACAGGCCGCATTAAGTCAACATGAGCATTTCCACCTGAGCCTTTAATTCTAGACCCCTCTCATAACATTTCTCTCCTTCACAAAAATGGAAAAATACAAGGCATTTTAAAACAGTAAGGAAAACGGTGACTATTAAAATTCTAAACACAAGAATCTTTATGTTATCTGTCTGTCTATCTCTCTCTCCATATATACTAGAGGCCTACTGCATGAAATTTGTGCAGGGGGAGGGGGGGGGGGAGGTGTCTGGCCTGCACCCCTCAGGGGATGTCCGATTACCAGTTTAGGCCCAAACCAGCAACCAAACATGCCTCTCACGATCTGGGACCGTTGGCTCCTAACCACTCACCTGCCTGCCTGATCACCCCTAACCGCTATGCCTACTGGCCTGATCTCCCCTAACTACCCTCTTCCACTGGCCTGATCGCCCTTAACCGCCCTCCCCTGCTGGCCTGATGATCCCCCCTAATTGCTCCCCTGCTGGTTTGACTGCCCCTAACTGCCTCTGCCTTGGCCCCCACCACTGTGGCTTTGTCCAGAAGGAAGACCGGACAATTGGAAGATGTCTGCTCAATCCGGCTAATTAGCATATTACCCTTTTATTAGCATAGATATATAAATTACCTACCCTAAAGGGAAAAAAATTTTCTGAATTGTCATTAAAATAATATCATAGAGCCGGGACTAGTTTGGCTCAATGGATAGAGTGTCGGCTTGGGGACTGAAGGGTCCCAGGTTCGATTCCGGTAAAGGGCATGTACCTTGGTTGCGGGCATATCCCTAGTAGGGGGTGTGCAAGAGGCTCGATGACTCTCTCATCGATGTTTCTAACTCTCTATCTCTCTCCCTTCTTCTCTGTACAAAATCAATAAAATATATTAAAATAATAATAATAATATCATAGATATTATATTATTTCAGATTAATCAGGATAGTGATTTATGAAAGATTTCTTAAAAGTAGAAGTTCAAACCGCATTCTGGGAATCCAGGACTATGAAGCTTAATAAAAGTTGTTTTTGTTTTTGCTTTTAAATCCAGCATGTTTTTAAGCACTTGCTATGTGAAAGCTAATATAACTAATAATTTAAAAATCAGTCGTCATACCAGCTGTGAGTGGGCATTATCTCCATCTATTTTTAGATGAAAAAAGTTTAGCAGTAATTTGTCTCATGAATTCTCTCTTTTGTTTTTTTGTTTTGTTTTTGCTTTTGTTGCTGCCTATTATTATTAAATACGTACAGTAAGACATCATGGGTCCTAAAGTTAGTGATAACAGCAAAGTGGAAACTAAAGTTGTAAAAATAAAAAATAGAGCTTAAAAAGTGCCAAGTATAATAAAGGTGTTTACATGTCTAATCTGGCTACTGCGTATGGTAAGGGGACTGGACAATTAACACAATTTTAAAACAAAAAGAGGTCATTAAGAGTGCTGACTTTAAGTGAAAGTGCCTACGAAACAATTTTCACAGGCAACTGAAGGAAAAAACAGAAATATCCGGGGGGGGGAGGGGGGTGTCTATAATGGATTAACTCAAATTACATTATTTCTAATAGGAAAATAATTAAGTTTTAAAACAAATTGCTTTTCGAATAGCCTTCCAGAACAAATTAAGTTCCAGAACTGAGATTTCACTGTATTCTAAATCATTGAATTTCTAAAATTTTATTCTCCCTTTTCTTTAAAAGTTTAATCTTTAGATTTAATAATCAATATTTAATTATAATTCTAAATTGCATGGTGCTAATAAAAAACACTACCCTAAAACTCAGAATAGCTGTACTACCTTGATGACCAAACTTTTACAATCATCTTTTATACTGGTTACCTCTGTGGAGTCTGCTGACTGACAATAGCATTGGCAGTCTCCCTCAGATACACCTCCCAATCTGTTTCAGGGACTTCTTGATCTTCAGTAAAAGGATATCTATATGACAAAAAGAAAACACAATAAACTAAACGGAAGCATGCTTATTTTCTAAAATGTTTTTGGTGCTAACTGCCTCTAACTCACTGTTGCACTCTGCAGGCTTCACACATGAGTAATGCTTTTCTGAGATTTCTGCAGGACTTCTCTGCAAGTCTACGAGCCAGCTGTGAAGGGAGATTCAGACCTTCCTTCTTGCACACAGTAGATAAAACATTGCAAATCTACAATAAAATAATTTTTTAAAATGAGCAATGTGTCAAACAGTATATTGAAATAATTTCTGTTGATAACATCTTCATAGAACCCCACTTTTTTGGGTCACTATCCTACCCTAATCCGCATTCTCCTTCAGCAGGAAGCCAGGGTTCTTGCCTAGCTATCAGGAAGAGGCAGCAGATGGCCCTGCAACTGGGGAAAGACCTGGTGCGGGGTCCAAGGGTCAGATGTTCTCCACCCTGAGTTAGAAAAATACCTGTCAGACATTGGAAGGGTATGGACTTTGGAATAAAAGAGATCTGTGCTTAAATCATGGCTCTGCTGTGGTCAACTTTGTTGACTTAAACTACCCGAGTCTTAGTTTAAGTCAACAAAGCCTTCTGGCCACCTCAGGGTAGCTGGGAGGAGACACAGGGTCCCAGGTTGGTGGCAAAAATAGGGCTGCCAAGTTGAGCCACCTGTTCTGAATCCAACAACTCAGAAGGCCTTATTTGCATGGACTAAGACAAGAATGTTGTCCATGGGAGTGGTAAGACTGGTAATCCTGCCTACTTTATAAAACCTTTTAACTGTATTACTCCTAAAATTTGTATAACTGAAACATAAAATAAAGGTATTTTACTACTTTGCAACTAATACAATGTCACACATTATCCATACTTTGCATAAAATTGACCCAAATTATTAATGGCAGGAAAACTGCTTATTATGAGAATTAAAATTTTTACTGGTAGCTATCAAGACTATCACACACACACCCACACACAGCTGGGCAAAATAGGTTACAGTTGTGAGTGACATTCTGTGTTAAGAAAGCTACTATAATAATTATAACCTGTATTTTTTTTCCATATAAACAACTATAAATCTATTTTGCCCATTCCTGTATATAATGTTGGTCCCCTACCTACACAGTTGGTATTCTCACATTATATCCTGGCAAAACCTATTACTTCCATACTCAAGTCTCCTCCAAAGCCAAATAAGTCAGGTTGAGGTAAAAAATACTAAGTACCTAACCTCTCCATAGTTTAGAAAAATTCATAATATAATTAAACATCGGTTCTCAAGCTGAATTCATTCTGGAAGACTGTTCAAGAAGCAATTTGTTCAAAAATGGAACATTAGAAATAATGTAAACTGAATTCGTTCCAGACCTCCAAATGATTTCTTGTTTTAACCTTGTTTATATACAGTACATGTCTAATATACTGTTTAATCTATAAACAAACTGTTTTCTTAAATTTATCAAACCACTCCCTACTAACCTTAAATCACTTTTACTGCTCATTCCAGGGGAGTCTTTCAGAAGTCAGCATGCATTTTCTTTGCTTTTTTACATATCACTGCCTTGGAAATGCTGTCACAGACTAACTGGTTTTCCTTTGTCCAAATCAACAGTTTTTCTACCTCTTCAACTGCCTGTGATCATTGTTTCTTTCACACCCTTAGAAACATTAGCACTCTTGATGGCTCTTTTATGTTTTAAAATTGTATTAATCATCCATTTTACCAGCAACAAAAGCAAAAAGATAAAATAAATAAAACCACAAAAATATTCACAGCACAATTTCCTGAAATGTTAACAATGTGAGGTTTAGGGGTAAACTGACTAGCATTCTCTCCTTTGTTTATGGCTGTTTCTCATGCTGAGGCATCAGTATAAAAGGAATGTTCAACAAGTGAGATTTTTTTTTTTAACATCTACTTGGTTGAGAACCCAATTGTTAGAAATAGGAGACATTTGAGAACCAAGGTTTGACTATACCTACTTGTTTAAGGTAAAGGATAATTTAAAGCAAAGGACACTTTTCCTATATTGGTATCAGGTATTTACTACTATAGTTTTTTGCATCTACTAATGATTTAGTATCCAGATTACAGATGTTCCTGAATTACTGACACACTTCACTGCAAGTGAAAACAAATAACTTGACTTACTTCCTCAATGCTGGGAGCAGGCACGCGAACTGCCAGACACCTACTACGAATGGGTGGTATCACTTTAGATGTAGAATTGCAACACAAGATCAATCTGCAGGTAGACATATACTTTTCCATGGTTCTACGCAAGGCATGTTGAGCATCTCTGGTGAGTTTGTCAACCTCTGTCAACAAAACCACTGAAGGAGAAACAAAATAAGGAGAAACTGAAGGAGAAACAAAATAAACTTTACTTGCACATTTTAGGATCAATCTTTTCTTCTTCCTTTTCATTATTCATTCAGCATGAAATCCTAAATAGTAATCCTGATATATTGCTCTTCCCTTTGACAAGAACATATGAAAGTTATAGGTACAGTAAGAATAATTTATTTTTATTTTTAAAATTCTATAATAAGCCTAAGAAATTCTGAGCTAAATGAAGTTAAAGAGGTTAATTTGATATAGAATTCATTCTAGCCTTTATATTAATATTTACTGGATGCCTGGTGCACAAGATTCATGCACTGGGTGGGGGGGAGGGTCCTTCAGCCCAGACTGCGTCCTCTTGCAGTCTGGGACCCCTTGGGGGATGTCCGCCTGCTGGTTTAGGCTTGATCTCCCCAGACATCCTTTTTCACAGCCTGGGGATTTCACAGTCCGAGACCCCTCGCTGCTTTACCACCTACCCGCATCGGACGTGGGAGAGACTCCCACCACTTCTGCCTGAGCAGTTCTCCCCTGTAAGAGCACACTGACCACCAGGGGCAGCTCATGCATTGAGTGGTCAGTGTGCATAATAGGGACCAAGTCATTCTTCCTTTCGATCGATGTGCATATTATGTTTTCATTATATGGGATTATTTCGTATATGCACTAGAAAGAGAATCACCAAAACAAGGGTGTATAGTGCTACATTTTCCAAAAATGTCTTACTATCTCAATAGCATAATGATCATGGAACATCTTTTTATCAGGGGTGGGGAACGTCCAGCCCACAGGCTATATAAGACCCATGAAATCATTTTGTCTGGTCCTGCCAAGGTATTAGCAGTGAGTTAATTAACTGTTTGACCAAATATAGCAGGCTAATTTTGTATGGCCCACAAATGCTGTTATAAATATGCATATGGACATTAGCAGAAAAAAGATTTCCCATTGCTGTCTTAAATCGTAGCATTCTAAGGAATATACTTTGGAAAACAACTGGCACAGAGATGTAGCAAACAAGACAAAAAGACATCTGGTTACTTGTATAGTAAGTTTCTACCTGGCCATAAGTAGTCTTAAGATTAGGCCTTAAAATTTTTCAAGAATAATATGTAGGTACAGACTGAATCCAACTGCTGTATTATTCATCATACCAATTTTTGTCTAGAAGATGGCAGTGGTAGCATTGTAGCATTCCAATCTCTCCTATATAAACAGGCAGAACTAAATATTCCAAGACCAAAGACCCATGAACAACTTTTATACCAAAACATAGTAATAAGCTTTACCTAAGAACCCCAAATACTAGAAAATGAAAATACTGGTAAACAACTGTGCATTAGTGGAAGTGGCTAGGATCTAGAAGATTTCTGATGGCTGTTAGGGCAGGAGAACCCAAAATCACCCTCAAGAAAATTATAGAAAGCATCAAGGGCTAAGATGAGAACAGCATCTATAGGGTGAGCTCATGGCTGAGAACAATGGAACCTTGATGCAATAAGGTTTGACAGAGCACTAGACTGAAAATAACAAAATGAAAGTGCCCCTCTAAGACAATGTTTCACAATGAGAAGAAATTCTGGACAGAGAATCCAAATAATTGAACAGAATAGGAAAAAGAGAGACGAAAAGATTGATCCCGAAATGTGACCAAAATAGAACCAAACAGAAAGTAGGAAAACCCTTGCCGAAACCAGTTTGGCTCAGTGGATAGAGCGTCGATCTGCACACTGAAAAGTCCCAGGTTCAATTCCAGTCAAGGGCATGTACCTTGGTTGCGGGCACATCCCCAGTAGGGGGTGTGCAAGAGGGAGCTGATCAATGATTCTCTCACATCGATGTTTCTAACTCTCTATCCCTCTCTCTTCCTCTCTGTAAAAAGTCAATAAAATATATTTTAAAAAAAGTAGGAGAACTCAACTGATACAAAAATAAATCTGGTAGTAGGAAAATAGAAGCATATCTATAAAATTAAAGCATGACCAAATGAGTTTTAGTCTAGAAATGCAAAGCAGTTTCATTAGGAGAACCAGTAATCTACACTAATGAGAGAAACATGCAAATTGACCATACCTCAACCACACCCACCAGCCAATCAGGAGCCAGTATGCAAATTAACCCAACAAAGATGCGGCAGCCATAGAGCTGGAGTGAGTAGGAGGCTTGGGTTGACCCCGGGATGGAGGAAGCCAAGCTTCCCACCCACCCTGGTCAGCCTTGGCCTCTGCTCAAGGCTACAAAGTTTTAAGCATAGAAGATAAATAAATCTCAGATACCTGTTTCTAGCCAGCCCTGGCCTCCACTCAAGGTGGTGCTTAAACAAACAAAAGCTCCAACTTGTTTAAGCACCACCTTGAGGGCTGGGAGCCTGGATCACCGGGGGGCGTGGCCAGCTTGAAAACAGCCCTCAGCCCCACACCCAGGCTGCCCCATGCCCCAAGGGAACCCCACCCTGATCCAGGACACCTTTCAGGGCAATTCAGCCGGCCTCCACCCGTGCACCAGGCCTCTATCTATACTAATAAAAGGGTAATATGCTAATTAGACTGGGAGACCTTCCAGATGTTCTTCTGGACAAAGCCATGGTGGTGGGGCTGAGGATGAGGCAGTTAGGAGACCAAGAGGGGAGGGCAGTTGTGGGTGATCAGGCTGATGGGGCGAGGTGTTGGAGATAAGCTGATCAGCAGGGGGACCAGTTGGGAGTAAGCAGGACGTCAGTGGGGGTCAGTTGGAGGTGATCAGGATAGCGGGGGAGGGGCAGTTTGGAGTAGCCGGCCAGCAGGGGGGCAGTTGAGGGCAAGCAGACCAGTAGGAAGGGAAGATAGGATGATCAGGCCAGCAGGGGGGCAATTGGAGGTGAGCAGGCTTTTGATATTTTTTGCAAAATCTTTCATCAGAATTATGGTATAAGTTTATACTACTATCAGTGGTAATGGGGAGTTCCTGTTTTTTTTCCAAATATTCTTCAACACTGGGAAATTTTTAATCTTTGTCAGATTTATTATATAGTTAGGGAAATAAATTGAGTGTTTTTATTTGTTTTTAGTAAGTATAGTAATTTTTCCTTTGTTCATTGCTCATTTTACTGTTTTGTGAATTGCCTGTGTATATTCCAGGCTGTTATCCTCCTCTTCAGTCTGTATTTCAAAATAAACATCTTTACTTATTTATTTTTGCTACTACCATATAAATGGGATTATCTTATATTTGATTTTTTTGTTTACATATATGATAGCTGTTGACATTTATGTCTTGATTTTATATCCTGTACATTATTAAATTCTCTTATTATTTGTAATAGTCTTTACAATGTCTCTTTTTGGTTTTTCAGACATGCATTCATATCATTTGTAAATAGAGACGGATTTCCCTTTTACTTTCCAATTTGTATGGCCTTAAATACTTTATCTTGTCTAATTATGTTTAACATCACCTCAATACAGTGGTTAACAGGAGTGAATGTTTTTGTCATGACTCTGAGAAGAGGAAAGCCCTAAGGTATTTCTATTTAATAAAGCATTAAATGTTGGAATATTTATCATCACAAAATCTTTAAGAATGTATGCATAGATAGATGTGCAAAATGGCAGTGAACAAACAGAAGAAATAATGACAAGCTCCCAGAACTAAACTAAAATTACAACTAAAATACAGAAAAAACCATCCTGAATAGTCAACTGAAGACTAGCTGGAGAGAACCCTGATAAGAACAGAAAGTGGAAACCACATAGAGCCTGGTAGGAAGTGCAGGGGTGCAAGAGGGCTAGCTGGGCTCCCAAAGACATCAGCTGAAGTTCCAGAGGGATATCTCAGCTGTTGAAGGAGAGGGGAGTTCCTATGGAGAACTCTGGGGTCTAATCCCCAATCTGGGTCTCCAGCTAAGAGCACCAGAACTGAGAAAAGTGTCCACATATCATCTGCCTATGAAAAGCAGCAAAATTGCAGTCTGCCAGTGAGAGACAACTAGAAATGCTGGCACCTTCTTAAAAGGCCAATTCACAAAATTAATTGTGCACCCACTTACCTTGGGCTCCAGCAGAGGGAGGGCAGAGTGCACTGGAGATATAGGAGCAGAAGCCAGGGTTGGGGCTCTGGGGTTAGAGCTTGGAAGGCAGATACCCTGGTTTCCTGGGCCAAGTCATTCTCTCATAAGGCAAAGGACATCAATCACCAGCAGACTTTTACTATCCAGGCAGATTTTGCCTACCCCCCGCCCCCCGCCGCCCCCCGGTGGCGGTGGGAGTGGTGTTGAAGGGGAGCAATTGCTGTTTTGATAAAAACTCCCAGCAAAGTGGGAATAGAGGGAAAATACACTAACATAATAAAGGCCATACATGACAAACCTACAGCCAACATCGTACTCAGTGGGCAAAAATTAAAAGCAATCCCCCTAAGAAGAGGCACAAGACAGTGATGTCGACTTTCACCACTCTTATTCAACATAGTACTGGAAGTCTTAGCCACAGTAATTAACAAGAAAAAAAAAGTGGGAAGTTGAAAAGGAGTAAATAAATTGAAAAAGAGTAAGTAAAACTTTCATTATTCGCAGATGACATGATATTGTACATGGAAAATCCTAGAGACACCATCAAAAACGCTACTAGATTTAATAAATGAATTCAACAACATAGCAGGACACAAAACCCTGCTATTATTATTTAGTGTATTTAAATGCCAGAAATAGATGGCATTTCAATACACTAAAAATAAATTCTCAGAAAGAGAAACCAAACAATCCCATTTATTATTAACATAAAAAAAATTAAGATACTTAGAAATTTAACCAAGGAGGTAAAGACTTGTACTCAGAAAACTATAAGATGTTGAAAAAAGAGGTAGAAGAAGACAAAAGCAAATGGAAGAATATACCATGTTCAATGATTGGTAGAATTAACATCATTATAATGTCTATACTACCTAAAGCAACATATAGATTCAATGCAATTCCTTTTAAAATACCAACAGCTTATTTCACATATCTAGAACAAATAAATACTCCAAAAACTAATATGGAACCAAAAAGGACTCCGAATAGCTGCAGCAATCTTGAGAAAGAACAAAGTTGAAGGTATTACAATACCAGATATCAAGTTGTATTACAAAGCCACTTTGCTCAAAACAGCTTGATACTATCACAAGAACAGGCATAAAGATCAATGGAACCGAACAGAGACCCCCAAAATCACACCAAGTCTCTATGCTCAATTAATATTTGACAAAGGAGGCAAGAGCATACAATAGAGTCAAGGCAGTCTCTATAATAAACGGTGTTGGGAAAATTAGACAGATACATGCACAAAAATGAGGCTAAACCACCAACTTATACCATATACAAAAATAAACTCAAAATGAATAAAAGTCTGAAATGGAAGTTGGAAATCATAAAAATCCTAGAAGAAACCATAGGCAGCACAATCTCATTCATCTCTCGTAGCAATATGTTTACAGATACATCTCCTAGGGCAAAGCAAACTACGGAGAAAATAAACAAATGGGACTACAACAAAAGAAGAAGCTTCTGCACAGTGAAATAAATGATCAACAAAATGAAAAGAGAGGCCACTGTATGGGAAAATATATTTGGCAATGATACATCTGATAAATGGTTAATATCCAAAATACATAAGGAACTCATACAACTTAACAAAGGAAGATGAACAATTGAATTAAAAAATGGGCAAAGAAACTAAATAGACACTTCTCCAAAAGAGACATTCATCTGAATGTCCTTTTGGAGAAGTGTCTATTTAATAAGAGACATGAAAAATGCTCAAAGTCAGTGATCATCAAAAAGATGCAAATCAGAAGGGTAATGAGTTATCACCTCCCACCTGTCAGAATGACTACCATCAACAAATGGCAAGTGCTGGCAATGATGTTGCAAAAAGAGATCCTTAGTACACTGCTAGTGGGAATGCAAACTGATGCAGCCACTATGGAAAACAGTATGGAGTTTCCTCAAAAGAATTAAATTACATAACTGCCATCTGACCTAGCGACTCCACTTCTAGGAATATATCCTAAGAAACCCGAAACAACAAACAGTATGCCTACTATTTTCATTATAGGGTAATTTACAATAGCTAACAGACCAAATGTCCATCAAGTGGATGAGTGGATAAAAAAGCTATGGTACATTTATACCATGGAATACTATGCAACAGTAAAAAAGAAGCATCTCTTACTCTCTGAGACATCCTAGATGGACATGAAGAGTATTGTGCTAAACGAAATAAGCCAGTTAGAAAAAGAGAAGTATCACATGGTCTCAGTCATATGTATGAACAAAATAATGAACAAAATAAACTGATGAAGAAAATAATCCAGAGATATAGCAGCTTGGAAGAGACTGTGGAACCTCAGAGGAAAGGTGGAGATAAGTGGTACAGATCAACCAAATAAGATGTATGCATATATTCATTATCCATGAACAACAGGGTGGTGAAGGCCTAGGGTGGTAGGTAGATATGGCTGGCAGGGGTCAATGGGAGGAGGGGGATAAATGGGACGTATGTAATATTTTCAACAACATAGATTTTTTAAAAATAATGTGTAGCCGAAACCGGTTTGGTTCAATGGATAGAGAGTTGGCCTGCAGACTGAAAGGTCCCAGATTCAATTCCGGTCAAGGGCATGTACCTTGATTGCGGGCACACCCCCAGTAGGGGGTGTGCAAGAGGCAGCTGATGGATGATTCTCTCTCATCGATGTTTCTAACTCTCTATCCCTCTCTCTTCCTCTTTAAAAAAATCAATAAAAAATATATTAAAAATAAATAAATAATGTGTACATATATACATACATATAAATGATAATGCAAGTTAATGACAAATGCACCACAATAATTTTAATTCATTGGTGGGATTATTGCTTATTTAATTTTCTTTTTGTCTATTTAGATATTTGATAACAAACATATAACTTTGGTCCTAACATTTCCCCTCCCCCCAATATATTTTTTATTGTTGATAGTATTACAAATATCTCCCATTTAAGGCCAGTTATTTTTTCTAAATCCTGTAATCTTAGCAGTACAAATATCGATACATAACCCTCTTTCCACCAAAACCCAGTTCCATGGGACTGTATGTAAACTCCCATGAGAACAGAGATCACGATTCTCTTACTTTTATATTTCCTACCCCCAAAAGTAGCATAATCCTTGACAAGAATAGCTAATAAATATTTGTTAAATGGATGAAATTTACAAATTCCCACTACATTTTCTCTCATATGCATTCCTTATAATTTGAGTGTCTGTCTAATGAAAAGAATTTTATTTTATTTTATTTTTTACCATACCTTTAAAGTCTCTTTGAGAGTTTGTTTCAAGTTGCTGTGATTGTGCCACTGTTTTCAACATCTCCTGAATTACTACCCGGTCACTATTTCCAGCATCACTATATAAACAGAAATAATGATTAAAAATACACACACATATCATTATACGAAAATAATGATTAAAACACACACACACACACACACACACAACTTGAAAGTATTATGCCCTTATTGTTAATATAAGAAAAATGATGAAGATATTAAGTAGTTACAATTTTAATAAAAATTAATAAAACTTAAATTACATTCACAAGACTTTAAAACTGAGATATATTAGGGTTACTAAAAAATACTAACAATATCCCATATTTAATTACAATTAATTAATCACTGAAAACACTAAATTTACTGTTACTTAAAAAGAGAAATAAGTAATAACAGTGACAATTACTTTAGCACTTCTGTATACACTACAGTTATTAGTTACAACTAATTTTCTTGATTATCTAGAATTACTCAAAATATAGAAATAACTATTTGAAACAAATTTAACTTCCATTCTTCTTCCCCATCATCAAAACAGCAAAGATCTGAGAAAGAACAACTCTAGACACACCTGCTCCCTGCATGGAGCTGATTCCCTTAGCAAGGGAATGAGATAAGAAATGAAATTTAAGATACAAAGTCAGAATTCCATAAGCTGTTGACTTATTATAGGCATTATCTGTCATTTATACCCATATATTGCTTTGGCATTTAAGTCATGTGCCTCACAAACCAACCTGTTACCAGGTTAATTTAGGCTGAATGTCAATTTCAAACACCTGAAAAACAATCAGCTTAATCTCTCATTGACTATTCTTGCTACAGAGGAACTCACAATGAGAAAAAGAGAGCAAAGCTCTCAGCTTTATTTTCCCAGTCATAAAAATCTTTCCCAATTCACTATTATTACCTATTATTTTGATATTATATATCAAAATACCTACAGTGTCCTTTTATGGTAATTTTCTAGTCAAGAATCTAAACCATTTTCCTTTTGTTATGGAGTTAAAACTTTTTCTACATTTATGATCAGATCCTTCCCACCAACCTTATTTCTCTAATTTTCTTTGACATAACCAGGGAAAATCCTATATAATAAAAGGCTAATATGCAAATCAACCAAACTGCTGAACAACCGGTTGCTATGATGTGCACTGACCACCAGGGGGAAGATGCTCAATGCGGGAACTGCCCCCTGGTGGTCAGTGTGCTTCCATAGGGGGAGTGCAGTTCGGCCAGGCTCATGGCTGGTGAGTACAGCGGTAGTGGTAGGAACTTCTCCCACCTCCGCAGCAGCGTTAAAGATGTCCGACTGAAGGCGGAGCAGGCCTAAGCTGTCAGTCGGACATCTGCAGTCCAGATTGAGGGACCCCCCCACCCCCAATGCATGAACTTTGTGCAGAGCCTCTAGTAATACCTATCAGAATTGTTTTGAGGGCTAAATATAAAATCCATGTAAAACTTTTCTCAGGGTGCCTTATACTGAATACATATCTATACTAATAAAAGGCCAGGCATCATGAAAGGAATTACCAGAGACACCAGACCACCACCCAAGCAAGTGATTAGGAGCAATCAAGCAGGCAGGCAGAATGATTAGGGGAGATCAGGTAGGCAGATGGTCCCTTGCCGGGCAGGCCCTACCCCCAAGCAAGCGGTTAGTGGCAATCAGGCAGGCAGAGTTATTAGGGGAGATCAGGTAACAAGCAGTGGTTAGGGGTGATCAGCTAGGCAGGCAAGTATTTAGCGGCGATCAGGTACGCAGACGGCCCCTCACAGGGCTGGCCCTGCCGCCCAGCAAGCAGTTAGGGGTGATCAGGCAGGCAGGCAGGCAGGCAGGCAGAGTGGTTACGGAGATCAGGCCCTGCTCTTTAGCAAAGAAAGAGGGAGGCCCAGGCCAGCCAAGCCATCTCATCCCAGCCTGCAGAGGGAGGACAACAGTGGCAGGGGAGGGAGGACAGCACTGCACAGATGGCAAGCAGTGGCAGTGGAGGGCGTGGGGCCAGCTGCCTGCAGCCAGGGGAAGTAAAGCCCCACTAGGCCCTGATCTCAGGCCAGGCCTAGCGACCCCACCTGAGTGGTCCCAGATTGTGAGAGGGTGCAGGCTGGGCTGAGGGAATCTCCTACCCCCACCCCCACACCCCCCCTGAGTGTACAAATTTTTATGCACTGGGCCTCTAGTTAGCTTATAATCCTACTAGAGGCCCAATGCACAAAATTCATGAACAGGGTGGTAGTGTCCTTTAAACCACCCTGTATCCTCTCCAATCTTGGACCCCTTGAGGGATGTCAGACTACCCATTTAGGCACAATCTAGGACTGCTGGCTCCCAACCGCTCGCCTGCCTGATTTTCCCTAACTGCTTCTGCCTGCCAGCCTGATCACCCCCTAATCACTGCCCTGCCAGCCTGATTGATGCCTAACTGTCCCCCTGCTAGCTCAATTGCCCCTAACTGTCCTCCCCTGCTGTCCTGATCACGCCCAACTGCCCTCCCCTGCTGGCCTGGTCACCCCCAACTGCCCTCTCCTGCTGACCCAGTCACTCCTAACTGCCCTTCCCTGCCAGCCAGGTCACCCCTAACTGCCCTTCCCTGCCAGCCTGGTTACCCCTAACTGCCCTCCCCTGCAGGCCTGGTCCCTCCCAACTGCCTTCCCCTGCTGTCCTGATCGCCCACAACTGCCCTCCCCTGCCAGCCATTTTGTGTCCACATGGGGCCAGCCATCTCCTCTATTGGGAGTGATGCTCAATTTGCATATTACTCTTAATTAGATAGGATTCCTTCTACTCCATTCAATCTTACTCATTAATTCTGAATGAGTTATTATTTTAACTTACTAAATACTTTGTATAAAACACCAAGCTCTGTAAAGCAAGAAAACTTAATTATCAAAATTATTTGAATGAGGAGTTCTCAGAGAAAAGGCAAAGTAAGAGGGTCTAGGCTAACCACACTAGGCAGCTTCACTTTTATCTGTTTATATACTGTGTTTTCATACATGATTTTAATTTAAGAAAGGATTCTACTCTTTAAAAAAAGGTCTGAACATCGCTATACTAAAAATCCTTATTTAGCCCTGGCTGGTGTGGTTCAGTGGTAGAGTATCAATCTCAGGTTCAATGACAGGTCTAGGGCATGTACCTGGATTATAGGTTCATTGCCCTGCCCTGGTTGGGGCATGTGCAGGAAGCAACCAATTGATGTGTCTCTCTCACATCAATAGTACTTTCTTTCTCTCTCCTTCCCTCCCTCCCTTCCTCTCTCTAAAAATCAATGGGAAAAATATCCTCAGGTGAGGATTAACAAAAAATAATAAAAATAGTTACTTTTATACAGTAGCAGCTTACCTGGGATTAACTTCAAGGTGGTAATTGCTTGCAATAGTGCTAATTTCAATTTTCTTTTTAGATGGAGTCTGTGGATAAAGAAAACAGATGTTTTTAACATTCATTAATTAGCTAGCTCTCCTCTTTCCTATATTTCACTGTTTTGTTTTGTATTATTATACTGGAGGCCCAGTGCATAAATTCATGCAAAGGGGGGTGTCCTTCAGACTGGTCTGCATCCTCACAATCCGGAACCGATGGCTCCTAACCACTTGCCTGCCTGCCTAATCGCCCCTAACCACTCCGTCTGTCTGATCACCCCTAACTGCCTCAGCCTTGACCCCTGCCGCGGCTCCTACCAGGACATCCGGAAGGTTGTTCAGCTGTCTGGTCTAATTATCATATTATGCTTTTACTAGAGGCCTGGTGCAAGGAATTCATGCACGGGGGCAGAGGGGAGTCCCTCAGCCCAGCCTGCACCCTCTCCAATCTGGGATCCCTCTCACAATCCAGGACTGCGGCTCTCAACTGCTCGTCTGTCTGCCTTCCTGATTGCCCCTGTTTCTGCCTGCCCGCCTGTTAACCTCCTAATTCCTCCCATGCCAGCCTGTTTGTTATCTAACTGCTCCCCTGTCAACCCATTTGCCCCCAACTTTCCTCCTCTGCCGGCCTGGTCACCCCCAACCTCCCATGCAGGCTTGACTGCCTCCAACTTTCCTCCCTTGAAGGCCTGATCCTTCCCATCTACCCCTCCCCTGCAGGCCTGGTCCCTTTCAACTGCCCTCCCTTGCTGGCCATCTTGTGTCCACATGGGGGCAGCCATATTATGTTGGAGTGATGGTCTATCTGCATAATATCCTTTTATTAGATAGGATAGAGGCCTGGTGCACAGATGGGGGCCAACTGGGTTGCCCTGAAGGGTGTCCCAGATCAGGGTAGGGGTTCCCTTAGGGTGTGGGGTGGCCTGGACAAGGGGCCTGTGGTGGTTTGCAGGCTGGTGGCGACCCAAGCAGAGGCCCTGGTATGTGGGGTTTCTTTGCCTTCTACAATTGAAACTTTGTAGCCTGAGCGGAGGCTTAGGCCGACTAGGGCAGGTGGAAAGCTGAAAGCTTGGCTTCTTCCTTTGCTGGGAAACGCAAGCCTCCCTCCGGCTCTGTGGCTATAGCCATCTTGGTTGGGTTTATTTGCATACTCAGTCTGATTGGCTTATGGGCATGACTGAAGTGATGGTTAATTTGCATATTACTCTTTTATTAGGTAGGATTTTATAAACAATAATGCTTACTAAAATTTTAAAGAACCACCAATAATATTTAACTTCATTAATACCATTCTTTTATTACTGTGCAGATAAACATTTTTATAGAAATTACGTCAGTCTATTTTTATTGAAATTACATTTTTCCTCTACCTCCAGAAATCTCCAAACCATTTTGTTATCAGATCATCTTTGCACACAACCTATATGTCCTGTTACAGCCTTTCCCATAACACACAAAAATAAATAACACACACACACACACACACACACACACACACACTCACACATCAGTGTTTCTTGTCAAAAATAAAAGAGGCAAACATCTTTCGCTGTTTTGCTTTTCTTACTTAACAACACAACTAGGCCAGTGGTCGGCAAACTCATTAGTCAACAGGGCCAAATATCAACAGTACAATGATTGAAATGTCTTTTGAGAGCCAAATATTTTAAATTTAAATTTCTTCTAATGCCACTTCTTCAAAATAGACTTGCCCAGGCCGTGGTATTTTATGGAAGAGCCACACTCAAGGGGCCCAAGAGCCACAAGTGGCTTGCGAGCTGCAGTTTGCTGACCATAAAACTAGGCAATTTGTCTCAGACAAAGTGGAATAGGGTGTTAAGATTTGCACTTGAATCTATAACATGGGTATCTCAAAAACTAGTCATATTGATGGGCATTTTAATTTTTGCTTTTTGCCATTTCAAACAATTCCATAATTAACATCTTTACACATGTCTCTTGCACTGCTTTCATTTCCATGGCAATAGGTTCCCAATAAAGAATTTGCTCAATTTTTCTAACATAACTGACTTTGAACTGGTTATAATAAAGTCTATAAATCAGTAGCTCTCAATCCTGAATGCCAGGATTACTTGTGAAATTCTTACTTAAATCATATATGGGGCAGCAATGGGAGAGGGCAATGTATTAATGATAAGGACTGAAAATCCCCACTATAAATATTTGAAGGGCCTTAACATGAAATGCTTACTGTGATGGTCTGATGTTCAATTCTCAGTTTTTCCACTCCAACACCATAAAGTTCACGTAAAATACACATAATTCTTGTCTTTTTACCAGCACCTGATGGACCATACACTAACAAATGAGGAAAGTCACCACACTGTACCTGGGAAAAGAAAAAAATCAAACAATGACGCATTTTCCTAATCACATAATTGTTCTGTGTAGAATTAAACTTTTTTTAAGTATCAGTATTTTGAAACTATGAAACTTCAAATATATATATGTATGTGTGTGTGTATGAATGTACACATAGAGATTTTTTTAAAATTATGGAATGTTGATTATTCCCTGGCATTAATTTTATGTAATTATATACCTAGCATACATGCATGATACAATACCATGTGCTAGAAAGTAAGAACTCCCAAACCTGGCTGTCAGAATCTCCTAGGGAACTTTTTAAATTAAAAGACTGATTGGTTATTAGATTCATCCCATCAAATTATGATTCAGTAACTAAAATTAATATCTGTCACAGTTTGGGTTCCCACACAAGTCCCTTTGATAAGAACTGAGTGCATTTGGACTATTAGTCAAGTAAAGAAAAATTTTGTAGGGAAGCAAAAGGAAAAGAAGGCAGAGTGTATTATCAACTTAAATATTATTCTGAGAACCTGAGACTTGATCTTGCAGGGGATCTTAAAGCTAAAGTTAAAATACACCACAGTCTTACCCCTCAAGGGTACAGAAGATGGAGTCTGACATGTTCTCTCTCATCAATCCTTTGATAAAGCTAGACTGGAAAAGTGGAGGGGGGAGTAGTGAACATTCACAGGTATTTCAAGTCAATTTAGGGGTGTCAGCAAGGGAAAGCCTCAGGAAGTGCAAATACAGGGAGGTGAAAGTCAGTCTTTGTGCACTTACAAGAAAGAACAAGGGGACAAAGTAGAGCACTAATAGTTCTGCTTTCCAGTACAAGACTGTGTTTTTTATAATGTTTCCCAGGTGACACTGATGATCAATCTGGTTTAGAATTTATAATATGAAGGCTATAAAGATGAAAACACATCTGTGCCTCGGATATACACCGAGTGGCCAGATTATTATGATCTTTATATAGGATATACATTTAGTGTCCAGATTATGCATTCAGAGATGATAATAATCTGACCACTCAGTGTATAAAATCTTGTGGAGCAAGTTTTGTAAAAGCATTATAGAAAAATAAGTATCTTAAAAGGAGTACTTTTACAGTAAATTTTAACACTTTGTAAACTCATCTAACTCTGGCACTGAAAAAAAAAATGTCTCAAGGAAAGAGACTATTCAACCAATAATACATGCTCCTCAAATACTATCTGCCTTTGTTTTTTTAATCTTCAATCTAATAAAAAAAATAATGGTTATGCTTTAAATGTTTCATTTTATTAAACTGTAGTCTCAACAATAAACAGATAAACATTTTTAAAAGCAAATCTGTTGACTCATGAGTATATTGTTTTTGTCCAAAACATTTATTCCAAATTTTGTAAAAATGCCACAGATTATGTAAAATGTATCTTTCATCTAAGAAAAATGAAGTGAAAGCTATTGTGAGAAAGTGCTATTTGTCTATAAATAAAGTATACAGATATAACAAGGTTTATTTTTAATTAGCACAGATGGAATACCAGTAATTAACGAAGAAAAAACCTATCTCACAACACTATCAACTCTTCTAATGACCATCATATAAACGGATGGAGTTCCCTTTTTTTTTTTTTTTATTAGTTCTCGTTTTTAAAAAGTACTTAAGTAGTACCTGTAACTGGGGAGCAAAAACACTTTTATCAGCACGTGGTAGTTTTAGGTCCTTGAAAGGGGTGGATAAATGGCTCCCAGAGACACAAGATTTTTCTGAAAACCCTTTTCCCTGTCCACTCCCTACAAAATTTAGTTCGCTTCTCATAAACATTCCCATCAGCATTTTATAAACGACAACATAAAAATGAATCAGAATGGGGGAGAGGGAGAGGGTTTTCCACATGGAATTACACTCAAGGACAACCTAATCAACTTATTTTAGAATTATAAGTGACCTTAGAAATTAATAAGCCAAATACCTTCCCATCTGTAAAGGAGGACAATGACACCAGGAAATTTTAAGAAAGCTGTTTTTTTTAAAAATCCGCCGGATGACGTCACTTCTCCGCTCCAAACCTTCAAAGGCTCCCCCCCACCTCGGAACTTATTGAATTTGCCCCCCATCCCAAACACACGATCCCATTTCCTGTCTCTTCCCTCGGGCCCGCTGTCACCGGCGGCACGGGCTGGCGGACCCGAGGCGGCACCCTCCCGTCCCGGGACTTTGTGCGGTTCCCCCGCCAGTTCCAGCCCCGCACGGGCGCCGGGCTTTCCCACTCCATCCGGACTCGCCGGCCCAGAGGGCGGCTTCACAGGCACAGCCTTCGCCCTTCCCGCGCCCTCTCCCCTCACCGCTGTGCTGTCCCCACAGCACCGCGCCTCCTACCCGCGCCGGCCCCGCCGGGGCGGCCCCTCCCCGCGCCCCGCCGGCGCCTCACCAGGCTGCGCAGCCCGGCCGCCTGCTCCCGGTGGTAGTCCAGCCGCGCCAGCGAGCAGGGCCGGTACTTGTCGGCCCAGAGGCTCATGGCGGCCGGAGTTCCCGGGTCGGACGCTCGAAAGTCCCGCGCGCGCGCTCCGCACGCAGCTGCCCGGCAACGGCGGCGCCCCACCCACGTCTCCTGACGTCACCACCGGCCACGGGCGCGTAGGCGACTTCAGAACCTTCCTTACTACGGAAGCCCAGGGCAGACAAAATTGGCCGCGGCCTCGATCCCGTTGACGTCATCGTGTTCATTCTAATCATTTTCCCTTTGTTCTGTGATAGTTCAGGAACAATCCAGCAAAATTTGAAATTTGGTTGTGATATTCTAGGCGTCAAATCTCTGGGTACCTTAGAGAAGCTACTCTCCTTGATCCATTTATTTATTTATTCATTCATGCTTTCTACAGAAACTTACAAAATATTTACCACGTTTTAAACTCTGTTCTTGACACTAGAATATGTCTGGGTTGTGTTTTTCCTCACTTGACAGGCACCCAATAATTTATTGAATTAATTGCTAAAAATGAGATCTAAACTTTACTGTCTTTTCTTACCTCCATTCTTCGAGATTCTTACTGGATTAAAAACAAAACAATCTAAATGAAAAGCTACAGAAATGTGGCCTGTCGTAGAAAAGACATAAGGGTAACAAACTATTCTAAGTCCGGAATGTTTGAAAACCCTTTTGATTAAAATGGGGGGGGGGGGGAAGAATGTGAAATCCTTGGGAAAATATTTTGCATATCAAAGCTATATAAAATGTTCATTATGCCTCTCGAATTATACCTCTCAAATGCATTTTCTAGTTGTACATAATATTAATTTCTCATTTAATTTTCGGTTTTAGTTTATATATTGTTCAGAATCCTAAATGCTGTTATTTGATTGCAAGGTCTCCAGAACAAGAATTGATTCTCCAATATGTTTAATAAGTTTATATCAAAGTGTCTTCATTCATTCATTTAATCAACATGAATTTATTGCAATCTTTTAAAAAATACATTTTTATTGGTTTTCAGAGAGGAAGGGAGAGGGAGAGAGAGAGTCATTGATCTGCTGCTTCTTGCAAACACACACACACCCCTGCCCCCCACTGGGGATTGAGCCTGCAACCAGGGCATGTTCCCTTGACCAGAATCAAACCCTGGACCCTTCAATCCACAGGCAGACATTCTATCCATTGAGTCAAACTAGGGCTATTGCAGACTTTTGTTTACCATTATATTTACTGAGTTGTTCCTGTAAGATATTACTGGACACAATAAATAACACCACCAAGTAAAAGATATAATTCCTGTTCTCAAGAAACTTTCTGAAACAAGTTTTTAAAGCTTCAATCTGTACAAAGGCCTTTGCACTTACAGTCTCCTTTTCTGAGCCACTTTTATCCAGATGTCAATAGAGCTGTGTTACTCAATTCATTCAGAATGTTTTCTCAAATTTATCTCTTTAGTAAGGTCTCTCTGACCACATAATATAATACTGCAAAACTCTTCACACTCGCTATGCTACTCCCTATTGAATTGGGATGAAATGAAGAGTATTTGAAATTAGAATGTAAAGGAAATCAGAAGCAAGAATATTGAAACATCATCTATATGGATATTGGAATCAAGAAAACTAATAATGGAAATAATTACTCAGAAGAAGAAAATGAACCATGTACTAAATGATCAATGAATTGACAAGAGTCACCATGAGCATGACTAGGTCAACAAGGAGTGGTAATAGTGAAGTTTGAAGAAATGTGTTTTTTTTTAAATCCTTATCCTAGAATATGTTTTTATTGATTTTAGAGAGAGGAAGGAAGGAAAAGAGAGAGAAACAACTATTGGTTGCCTCCCTCATGCATCCTGACCTGGGATCAAATCTAAAATATTTTGGTGTACAAGACAACACTCAATCAACTGAGCCATCCTGACAGGGATGAAAAGTGTTTTCAAAGTTGTTAGAGGTTCTAAGGAAGGAAAAATGGTGAGGAGGGGACAACAATATCATAAAAGACACTTAGCTCAACTAGGCTTGCCAGATTTTACAAATATAAGTACAGAAGCCCCAATTTAATTTTAAATTCAGATAGATTTTTAATATTATTAAATATTGCTGCAAATAGGATAGGAGCAGAGCCAAGCCTCTTGCTTGCTCCCTCGCTGTAGCTATTTTTGTTGGGATTTATTTATCTTCTATAATTGAAACTTTGTAGCCTAACCAGTGGTCAAGGACAATAGGGGGGTGGGGGCATGAGTGGGGGGATGGGGAGTTGGAATGGGGGGTTAAGAACAAATATGTGATACCTTAATCAATAAAGAAATTTTTAAAAATTTAAAAAATAATCCAAAAAAAATATCAAAAACAAATACTCTTTATCAGGTCAAGAAAAAATATATCTAGTCTTAGTTAGTAGATTTTAAATCATAAATGGGTATTAATGTTGTCAAATCCTCTTTTGCTATATTGAAATGATTAATATGATTTCCCACACTGCCTCTTTTTGTCTTTCCTCTTAGGAAAGATTTCAATATATGGAATTCAATATAGTGAACACAGCAGCTACCTAGAAATGAAACATTTTGTTCAGTGGCTGAAACCCTAGAAAATTACACCTACCATTAATGTTGGCACCTTGAAACCTAAAAACTCAATGGAGAAATATTTTAATGAATGAAAATTGAAAACTGGATATTGATGTGACCTCAAAGGACTGAGAAGCAGTTAAGTCGCTTAGTGCATCTTGTTAGTAGTTAAATCTTCAGTGATGTGAACTAGACTTTATGTGAAAAACCTCATGAAAGTCACTCATAGCTTATTTTCTTATTTATATTTGAATAACATGTTCATGGTGCTGAGTACCTCTTAGCATCATCAATGATAACTGAAACTGGTCTTCCTAGTACCCCCCATTCTTGCTCCTCTCAACAGGGGTATTTATATTATGCATCCAGCTTTAACAGAGGAATTAAAGGCAGGTCCAAGGACCAAAAGTATTCATTATAATAAATAATTAGGTTGAAAATATTTTATAGAAAAATCATGTATCTTTAAAACTATTCAACATGGGGTATATTTTAATGAGATAAAACTTTTATATGATGTATACTTAAACTATAAAGTTAATCTTAAATATTGCTAAAAGAAAAAAGAAGAAACCAATAGTTCTTTTTTAAGATAACTCTGAAAAAACAAACAAACAAACAAACAAACAAAAAACCACACACACACACACACACACACACACACACACACACACACACACACACAAACTGGTCTCAGGAAGTACGAGTTTCCCTACTGGTCAGAATGGAAAAAAGCACCAGAGCCCAGTGGTCCAGAAGTGACTGACTGAGGCCTGTGGGCGGTAAGCAGAGCACAGCAGAAGCAGGGTCCATGGGGTGTGTGAAGGTTCCCAAGTCCAGTCGAGTTGGCTTGCTTTCTCTGCCCTGACACGGCTGAGACTACAACTACTGGAACATGCACATAACTGGATCATCACTACTTTCTTACCATCTAGCCTACATGCCCTCCTCCTACCACAAATTTTTAAAGGCAAGGACTGCCTTAGTCATATTTTTAAAATTTATTTTTATTGATTTCAGAGAGGAAAGGAGAGGGAGAGATAGAAACATCAATGATGAGAGAGAATAATTGATCAGGTGCATTCTGCATGCCCCTCACTGGGGATCAAACCAGAACCCAGGCATGGGACAGGGAATTGAACAGAGACGTCCCCATTCATAGGTCAATGCTTAATCACACCAGCCAGGCTATCTCAGTCATATTTATCCCTTAGCACCTAGTAAAGGACCTGGTGCATAATATCTAATCAGAAAATCTGGCTGGCTGATTGATGCCTATGGGTTTTATAAATTTTATCCAGGAGGCTTCATATATTCTATTTTCTCTTTATTACTTTTTTGTTTTCTTCCCAGACTTGGGATCTTATTACAAGAAGATAATATTTTCAACAAACAATATAAACCCTTACTTTACACACAAACTAGAAAATACCATGGCAGGAACTCAAGGTTCTTTCCAGGCCCAGATTTTCCATCCTTCCTCCATTTCCAAGATACCGGAAATGCTTTCCTATACCCTGAAATTCAGAAAACTGATCAAGTCAGTTTAGATGCTTTTATTTCAAGTTTGCTGGATAAGAAAAGACTGCATTTTATTCTGGGGAGGAATTTGGGTTTTCCAAATAAATAACCAGCTTGTCTAACTGTCAAAATGTGGACATTATTGGCACGCTCAACATAGTCCTAATTCAAGTTTATGGGTCAGAAATGGAACTTCTGCCTTTCAGATTCAAAAAGGTCAGCAGACCATGGCTGTCTTGCACAATATGGATCTGTTATTAGAGCAACTAAAGTTAACAGCAGTGTATTTAAATAATATAGTGTAAAGAATAGGAGGGTTGAAAGCTTGTCTGGGATTGGAATATTGGCTTTCATAAATATAAGACCACCCCAAATACTTTTTTTTGTTTAAATTTGGAAAGAATTTGTTGACCTTTTGGCTTCATTGAATTTTCTTTAAGTTTTTCTAAGTAATCAGAAACAAATTTCACAATTTATGTCACACTTGGCTCATGTTTCAGAGAGTGACGGAAATCTTGTTATGTCAGTACTCCCTGCCCAGAGTAGCATGGAGAATTCAGCACTGGGGAAGCTTGCCAACAGCACCTTGCCAAACCAAACAGGAATCAATTTGGACAATAGGAAGATTATGTGGTGGAAAATGGATAGAAAATTAAGTCAGGAAAGCCACATCAAAATATATTTAGAAGCAGTGTCTTAAGTTACAAAGCCACCTTTCTAAGCGGTCAGATATTTCTGCTTCACTGAAAGCTCATCCACAAAAGGTCAATGGGTAGAGTTGAAACAACGATTTTTCTCTTACAACCACCTGTGTTATCTGTGGTATTATTATCTGGCCACAGATGTTTTTGCCACCACTGTGTCCTTTCATTCACACAACCATCAGGCTTTCCAGAGTCCCCTGAGCTGCCAAGAAAAGTAGAGGACTCATAAGCACCCTCCAACAGGT